ATCATAAAAAACAGAAGTCGATACTCATTAGTCGAATTTAAGTGGAGCCTGTTAAGCTCTGTTTTAGATTTTAGTGATTTGTAGATTGACATCACTGGCTAGCATGAAGAGAAGGGAAGCAGTCGGAACCGAAACAATATGCTTTCACTTATTTTTAATTATGTTATTGATTTTATTTCACCTTAACCATATTGAATGAACTGCATTTTTTGTCCTGTCACCCGCTAATTTGCCATAACTGCTGTCGAAAATTTCAGCACGTATCATTTATGGTTGACATGCATAGACCCAAACACACCAAGAACAAGCCGCTAAAAAATTAGCGGGATGTAAATTGCCCCAGTGGCTTCATAGCTGCCATATGTGTACGCAGGATCTGGGACAAGTGTGTCCTGCAAATTTGACAGCTTTCAGTAGATTAACGGTCACTGGGCAGGATGGCCGTGTTTTTGGCAATTTTTTCTGCATTTATTTGCTTTTATAGAAGCGGATTTTTGCTCTGGAACGGTTTCTTGCTGAATTTGATATCATCCTTTCGCCTGTTTGCTTAGGACTAAAGCGGTTGCCAACACTACTGTCGATGAAGTGGCCATAAGTGGAGAGGAGTTGAAACCGTCATATTTATAATTACGGTATAGAGAACTAAAACGATCGGCTACTAACAAATGATGCCAGAGCAGCGTTCTAATTTATCTGAAGTGATAGATAGGCCGGTGCTGCTTTAGCACTTCAGCGATCAACTAGGTTCATACGTACAACTTACCTAACAATCCTTGAGGTACATGATTTTAGCTAGACTCATACTTAGCTCTTATGTACTCCGATAGATCCCTGGCTTTCAAACTTTTTTAACTGTTCTCTAGCACTTGAGTCTTTTTTGGTAGGTCCAGATATTAATACCTAATATATATATATATATACATATATATATATATATATATATATGTATATATATATACATACGCATGTATATATTTTTCCCCTTCATTCTTTCCACTTTGTTTTTCAAAAAAATCAGTTCTTTTCAAACACTCTTATTAATTATACTGATATTACACTAAAATTGTTGTTTGTTTGTCAGTGTTTAACAGATGCAAAGAAGTGTTTTTCAATGCACTTTCGAAAAAATTATCGATGAAGTCCTCTTACCCTGTCCTCCCTCTCCCATTCCCCTCCGGCCGCCTCCGCTCCCCTCTTCCTACCGTAATTTCTCCTCAGTTGGTCGCTTCTTGAGACTGTAGCAGATGTATCGCTCTGAGATGTCGTCTTGTGAGGCGAAGTAAGGTTGAAGCCAAGCAAAACATTGTGCATGCGCAAAATCAGGGGCATTTTAAAGTGCTTTGTTGAAAAATTTTAATTTAGGCCATCTACTGAAAAAAAAAGTTCAAAAAGGATTGGAATAATGGATAAGATTTGATTACGACCCTTAGAAAATGTTCACTTCGGATAATTACCCTTGCGCTGTTGTTGTTGTACAGCTGAAACGACAATTAATAATAAATTGTATTCCCGTGCTGTCTGTAGGTAGAGAGTAACAGATTCAGTTTTTTACCGGTCCACAAGTTTTCATTTCCTCAGCCAGTGTCACCTGAAATTTATAACTACACTTCGTGTTACTGGTGTATGTGTTGCGTTGAACAAATTGCGTGTAGTTTTTTTAGATCGTGTAAAGTCAAGAGTTCGTGAGTTGTTAGCTGGGTGGTCACCTGCACTCATTCTTGTCTTCTAGGAAAGAGAAACAGGCAAGATGATGGTGAGGGAGCTCTGCGACATTTTTTATAGCTTCACTCACCCATTCAAAGGGTTTTTTTCTCTAAAATCTTTTGACGTTTCTTAACCTATATCGCGGATTAACAGGCCAAATTCGAGATATTTAGCACAAATTTTCAAAAATTTGTCTTTCTCCTGTTAAATTTCTCGTATTTTTTAATTTATTCGTAGGAAAAGGGAGTTGCTGTCATCTTACTGCCTGCTTCCTGTGCACGCTTCTCGCCCTCCAGTGCTGGAAAACATCATGCACTTCGTACAAACACTACTACCCTCCCACCTCTCCCCTTTTCATTTTGAGTATCGGCTGTCCTTCCAAGCCATCGAACCACTTGTGGGCAAAAAGAGGCACACAACTGCTTCGGCGGATTTCGACTTTAAAAAGTGGAACTGCTAAATTTTTCGGAAATGGCAACATTTCGTGAAGCTAGCGGCTGTCTGGGTTGCCGGAGAGGGCAGGATTATGCAACAACATAGCAGTTGTGTGCTTTTGCGTAGCTAACATTTTTTTGAAGAAGCTTCTGGGAAATGGTGAGAGTGGGCAGGTGCAGTAGCCCCAAGCACACTCTGGAAGCCGGATGTTCTCTCGAATTACTAGTCAAGATTTACTTCGATGCAAAGAAATATCACAATGTTACAACACTACTGTTATCGTCTGAAATTGAATATTCAGCATGTTTGGTGCTCACTTCCGTGCACAGGCTCTCAGGTGCGCTGGCCCTCTATTCAGCCGCTCTTAAACAAACCTCTGTTGAGAATTGCCCACTAGAAAAAGCATGTTGTTGCAGATTCATTATAATTTTTCCTACTTTCAATCAAAAAGCCATTCTCTGCTTAGAGCTGTGAGATCAAAGAAGATTTTCGAATTGCAAAATGTATAAATTTGTTTCTTAGTTCCCAGGGTATGCGGCTGCTTTAACAGTCCTGAGGTCAGTGTGTCAAATAGTTTAACCAAAAACTGTTATAAAATAAAAAAA